TGCCAAAAAAAAAAAAATATCTTCTGTTAGAAATACATTCCTAAAGAAATTACAGATGACATGTCATGATTCTGGAATTTGCTTTAAAATGTTCCATTCTATAAAAGGGAGGATAGATGAAATAAGATTGAAAAAATGTTGATAGTTGTTAAAACTAGATGATAGCTACATAGAGATATATTATATTGTTTACTTTTGTGTATGCTTGAAATTGTTCATAATGAAATGTTTGAACACTCCATAATGTTCTGCTGTTCTTGTTATATTATTACCTTTTCACCCCTCTCTATCACACTTCCAAGGTATATATATATTGCTGTATATCCTTTCCTAGGAAAAGAAGGAAAGAACCAAAGAGCCCACTGTGGATTCAGCCAGGGATCAAAGGTCAAATTCAAGATGCTAGTCACTTCTTCAGCCACAGGGGTCTGTGAAGACTGAGCAGGATTGACAGCCGATAATGAATTTTCTCACTTATGTGAAGCACCTAAAACTACAGGAGTCAGTTGTAGGGCATTGTTGATAAGTTGTTGCAGTATATACAGTAATTAATGGGTTTATATAAACTCCTGCTGAAAATTCACTATGTGTACTTTATAGATAATTTGCTGTAGGTACTTTGGAGCTTGGGGTTCATGGAGAATCGCATGTTCTATTGCACAATAAAAACCCAAAGAGCAAGAATAAATTCTCCATGGCCCTGAATTTAACAGGAGCAGCTTCAACCTGTAGAAAATATTTCAAACATATAGTGACAAAAAATCGTTCATAAGTAAATGAGATTTGGAAGAATGACAACTGTTTGACACAAGGACACAAGGTAATTAGAGCTCAATGCAGAAAAAATGCTCATATGCAGCAGTTTTCCTAAATGGGTCTATAGCTATAAAATCAATTAGGACTTTTTGGAATAAAAAATATTAAAAAGTGGCTAAGTAATAGAGAATTGTTTATAATTCTTAGAAAAATTTTAATTACTCACATCTGGAAATAATGTTTATAGTCTTCCCCAAGAGTTGTCTCTCGAAACCAATTCCTTATTTTATTGGCTGTTATCTGGCCTTGCCTGGGAACTCCCAGGGGATTAGCTCACATGCCAGAGAGGATAACTTCTGGTGCAGAGTGATCTCAGTAACAAGACAAAATCATTTCATAAGGAACAGCAAAAGGGAAAAGGGCTGCTAACCTGGGAATGGGAGACTACGGTGACACAGAATAGCTACTTCAAATATTTGAGATATCCTATATAATAAAAACCTAATATTCAAATCGACCGAACGGTGTAACGAACAGAGGAATGACCGGTCACTATGAAGCCCATTGACCACCAGGGGGCAGACGCTCAGTGCAGGAGCTGCCCCCTGGTGGTTAGTGCGTTCCCACAAGCGGGGGCACTGCCCAGCAAGCAAGCACAGTGGCAGTGGTGGAAGCCTCTCCCGCCTCCGCAGCAGCTCTAAGGAGCAGCAAGCCCAGCAGTAAGGAGTGGCCAGCAGGCAGGCGGTAAGGAGGGAGGGGTCCCAGACTACAAGAGGGCGTGGCGCAGGCCGGGCTGAGGGACCCCCTTCCCCCTCCTCCAGGACACGAAATTTCGTAAACTGGGCCTCTAGTTATTTTATAAAACAGAGATTAGGTCTGTTCTATGTAGAATCAGTTTGCTTTTCTATATCAGAATGCAGGAAGTTTCAAGGAACCAGATTTCAGTTAAACGAACAAAGAGCTTTCTAACAATATGGAGCAATATTTTAGTAGAATACATACATACTTTAAAGAAATTTATACTTAAGCTACTTAGTGAAGTTGGAGAGATATTTTGCAGCTTGAGATTTTCTTGAGATTTACATTTTGATGATATTTTCCACCACAGTTTTACTTCTAAAATTATGTTTTCTATATATTAAGAACATTTTACATTATCATAAAATTCCACTAATAATCCCACACATTTTTATGCGTGAAATATTTTATGTGCATATCTAATATTTTAGCAGATGTAGATTTTTTAAAATTGTAAGAACACTTAACATGAAATCTAGCCTCTTACCAAATTTGCAAGTGGGCAATGCAGCAGTGTTAACTATAGGCACAATGTTGTTCAGCAGATTTCTAGAACTTAATCATCTTGAATAACTAAAACTTTATGCTCATTGACTAGCAACTCCTCACTTCCTCCTCCCAAGCCCTGCTTCTCTGAGTTTCACTACTTTAGACACCTCTTATAAGCAATATATGTCCTTCTATGTCTGGCTTATTTCACTTAGCAAAATGTCCTCAGGTTTCATCCATGTTGATGTGGATGGTAGAGTTTCCTTTTTTAAGGCAGAATAATATTTCATTGTATGTATCTACTATATTATTTTTGTCCATTCATGTGTCCATAGACATTTAAGTTGTTTCTTCATTTTAGCTATTGTGAATAATGCTGCAGTGAACCTGAAAGTGCAAATAACTCTTCAATATTCTGATTTCCACACATTCTTTGATACCTGTTCACAAAAGGAGAAAGGGTTTGTGCCAGATTGTAAACTGATGCACTGCTTCCCTCATCAATAAAGACTTGTTATGGAAAAACAAGTCAATGGAACTAAACAACATATATCGTAACATTTTTTAGTCCTTTGTAATGAAAGGAATTTATCCAATAAATAATAAATACTAGAGACTTCAACAGTAATCAAATGATCTCACTATAAAGTAGATTTAAATGGAAAGACCTTTTGAACAATAAGATTTATATTTCCCTGATTAAGAATATGTTTGAAAAAGCACACATCACAATAGTAGAGAGTTGAAAAAGAAAGGATAATTGCTGCTCCCTGGAACTTACTGTAAGAAATCTATTAGTTGGATGTGCACTAGGCAGAACCTTTATAAAAAAATAATACATATTACATATATACATGTGCTACTATTTAAAAATATAGATTCTGGTCCTAGTTGGTTTGGATCGGTGGAAAGAGCATCAACCTATGGACTGAAGGGTCCTGGGTTTGATTCTGGTCAGGTACCTCTGTTGCAGGCTCAATCCCCAGCCCTCATCAGGGAATGTGGGAAGGCAATCAATCGATATGTCTTTCTCCATTGATGTTTCTCTCTCTGTCTCTCTCTCACTCTCTCCCTTCCACTCTCTCTAAAACTCAAGGAGAAAATATCCTCAGGTGAGGATTAAAAAAAAATATATATATATATATATACAATGTCTACACTAATAAAAGAGAAACATGCAAATTAACCATCAATCCGCCACTCCGCTACACCCACCAGCCAATCAGGAGCGAGTATGCAAATTAACCCAACTAAGATGGCGTTGGCCATGGAGCTGGAGCGAGCAGGAGGCTTGGGTTGCCCCCGGCGATGGAGGAAGCCAAGCTTCCCGCCTGCCCTACTGGCCCTGGGCTCCACTCAAGGCTACAAAGTTTCAATTATAGAAGATAAATAAATCCCAGATACCTGCTTCCAGCCCATCCTGGCCTCCGCTCAAAGAGGCACTGAAAAAAAAAAGAAAAAGAAAAAAAGGAGAATCTGGGAGGTTGGGTTGCCGGGGGGCATGGCCAGCCTGAAAACGGCCATCAGCCCCCCACCCAGGCTGGCCAGGCACCCCTGTGGGACCCCCCTCCCACCCTTAACGGGCTGTGGCCAGCCTGGAAATGGCCCTCAGCCCCTCACCCAGGCTGGCCACACCCCCATGGGGTGAGGGTCCCTGCTGGGAGGCTTGGCCAACCTGAAAACAGCCATCAGCCCCTCACCCAGGCTGGCCAGACACCCCAATGGGACCCCACCCTGATCTGGGACACCCTTCAGGGCAAACCGGATGGCCCCCACCCATGCACCAGGCCTCTATCTATACTAATAAAAGGGTAACATGCTAATTAGACTGGGAGACCTTCCAGGAGACCTTCCAGACATTCTTCTGGACAAGGCCATGGTGGCAGGGCTGAGGTAGAAGTGGTTAGAGGCCAAGAGGGGAGGGTAGTTGTGGGTGATCAAGCTGATGGAGGGCGGGGCCATTGGGGGTAAGCAGACCAGCAGGGGGGGCCAGTTGGGGGCAAGCAGGTCATCAGTGGGAGTCATTTGGAGGTGATAAGGACAGTGGGGGGGGGGGAATTCGGAGTGAGGAGGCCAGCAGGGGGGGTAGTTGGGGGCAAGCAGGCTGGCAGGGGGGCAGTTGGGGATGAGCAGGCCGGTGGTGGGGGCCAGTTGGGGGTGAGCAGGCTGGCAGGCAGAGTGGTTAGGGGCAATCAGGCAGGCAGGCAGGCAGGTGAGTAGTTAGGAGCCAGCAGTCCCGAATTGTGAGAGGGATGTCCAACTGCCAGTTTAGGCCTGTTCCCTGTAAACCAACAGTAGGACATCCTTCGAGGGGTCCCAGATTGGAGAGAGTGCAGGCTGGGCTGAGGGACTGCCCCCCCCCCCCCCCCCGCCCCGCACAAATTTCGTGCACTGGGCCACTAGTTATGATTATAAAAGAAGAATTTATATTGCTTCTCGGCCTTTTGGCTAAGATCAAGTGAAGAATTTATTTTAAAGCATTACTGAATTAAAATTAGTTCTTCCTTAATATATATATTTTCCAAGCAAGTACCATTGTTGTTAGGCAGAAATCCAAAACACTTTTTTGTATGTGATGAGTGTTCTTACACTAATAAGTTTGTTAATTATTCAGGGCCTCTGCATACAGCAGATTGCACAAAGCACAGAATGAGGAGGGTGTGCGTTGGGACTGAACCCCAGCCCCATGTGCTTACCCAGCCATGAGCCCTGACAGTAAAACTGCATCAAACCTAGGGTGACCAACCATCCTGGTAGTGCCCAGGACTAAAAACCCTATATCCTGGGAAGCACGTCAGTCTTGGTCAACCTGGGGTGGTTGCTCACCTATTTGGGGTAGAGATGAGCCATGTGTGTTAGGGTCAACCTTGGAATCTTGCCTGTAGAACTGTACTCCCAACACAGCTGCAATCATGAAACCATTTTTACATTACTTCTTTTCTCCTTATGTTTTCAAGGTGAAAGAACCATGTACTCATGCCAACATCCTGACCAAGCCTGATCACAGAACCTTCTGGACTAATGATGACTCAGGTATTATTGGGAAAATGCTCTCTGGTCCTGCGATGCCCAGAAAGTGTTCTGTAGTAAAGTGCTGCACAAAGACAAGGCTTAAGGGAAATTTTGGGTTTTGCTTGTTTATACCTAGTCCATCACTTGAATATACTTCACAGTTATTTTTTTTTTTAATGATATAGGACCCTTTATGACATCTTTTTCAGTAGCTAAAGCATATATACCATCAGGTGCAGCTTTCTGGATTTCAAAGTATATTCAAGTATTGTGAGGGGAGGGGGAGGACAGAGAAATGAGTTTGTTTCCTGGAGTGGGTGACAGGGAAACAGGATAAGGAGGGCAAGCAAACCCATCCCAGTTTGTCTTCCAGGGAAAGGAAGGGACTAAAAATCCTCAGGTAAGTCACGCTTCAGAATGCTTCGTGTAGGGCAGGTATGACTTATTCCATCAATCCAGTTGTATAAATCTAATCAGAACCAGAGGAATGCCACTTTCTAAGATCAGAGAATATGCTTCAGGTTGTATAATTATACTCAGATAAAGGAAATAGGAAATTCTTATAGGAAATAGAAGATACCTTTTCATTCCTTTTCACAAACACATTGAGCCATAGGCCTAATTACATCAAGTAAAGACATTGAACATGAAGAGGGGAGGCTGAGCAAAAAGAGCTAAAGTAATTGAGAGAGTGCTACTAGTGCTTTCACCTTTTCTAATTAAATGGAGAACCAGTGCTGACACCTATTAATTGTATTAAGCCTCCTAGCTTCACAAAGCACATTCACAAAAAAGCTAATTCAGTGTTTATGGCAGGCCCATGAAAGAGGAGAGCAGCCTGTCCTCCCTCTCCCTGAGTGAGAGATGAGATCAGAAGCTGAAAGGGGTTAGCCGACTTCTTTAAAGCTCATAACCAGAAAATGCGAGGCTGAGGAGTAAGACTAAGAGCGTGCATGCCCAGTTCTTTATTTCACTTCCTAGGAAGAAGCAGCTCTTGTGAGAAGCAGCGTGGGCTAAATTTGTGCTTTAATCTTTTCTTCATAAAAGAGAGTCAGAGACCACGCTTATTAGCAGAAGCGAGAGGGGCTCAGGAGAGGAGTAAAAAACTCTCTGATGCCTTCTTTTCAAAGACCAGGCTTATGGTCTAAAGTTATTATCAATTTCGTCTGTCAACAGAATTGTTCTGTCTTGTTTTATGTCTTTTGAAGAAAGATGAATAAACATGAAAGTGAATTGGCCTATTCAATGCCATCATTTCGGTCCATTAGTAGAACAACCACAAAATAAGCAAGCCATCCACTGGCTAAGACTGCTATTAAGAGCCACAGCACATGTATTGTGAAGAAGCTGTGGAGAATAAAACGTTACAATTAAAAAAATAAATGGTTCTCAAAGTTCCATAACTAAAAAGGAATGGGAGGGGGATCTGTACAGGACAGGTCCAGGAAAATGATACTCGGCCACTTTTCAGAGCTGGAGAAATGGTTACAAGAAACACTAGTGCAGAACATGTAAAGAAATGGAAACAGGAATACTCATCTAAAAATTTCTTTAAAAATTATTTTTGTGTCATATATTTTGAAGTTCTGATATTAAGCACATATATACTTTTTCAATTGCCATGATTTGTCCCTCTTTATCTTAGTACAAGTCTTTGTTTGAACTCTACTTTTTCTGATATTAATATAGCCAAGCCAGTCTTCTTATGCCTATTCTTCAATGATATATCTTTTCTATCCATTTATTTCAACCTACCTGTGTCTTGTAATTAAAGAGCTTCTCTTACAGACCTCATACACTTAGGTTTTCCTTTAAATTCTGACGATCTCTGGTTTTTTTTACTTGGAATGTTTAGACCACTTACACTTAATGTGATAGTTGACCTCATTAGATAAAAACTATGCCATCATGTTATTTATTTTCCTCATATCCCTTCTCTTCTTTATTTGCTTGTTCTTCCTTTCCTGACTTCTCTGAGATTATTTGAAAAATTTTAAGAAATCAATATTAATTTATCTATTGACTTAGTGGTGACTCTAGGGATTACAATGAATAACTTGTAAGTTTTCAAAGACTACTATAGAAACAAGAATCAGCCCTGACCGGTTTGGCTCAGTGAATAGAGCGTCAGCCTGCAGGCTGAAGGGTCCCAGGTTCAATTCCAGTCAACGGCATGTACCTTGGTTGCGGGCACATCCCCAGTAGGCAGCTGATCGATGTTTCTCTCTCATCGATGTTTCTCTCTATCCCTCTCCCTTCCTCTCTGTAAAAAAATCAATAAAAATATATTTTTTAAAAAAATAATCAGCATAGGTCCATTTCCTCACGCCCCCTCCCATCCTTTACATTACGGTTTTCAAAAATGTTACTTTTACATATGAAATAAAGCCTATAGTACAATGTATTTCAAGAAAAACAAGAGGGAAAACATAATTTATATTTACTCTGATGTTTACCATTTATGATGTTTTTCATTTTTTCTTGACAATCCAAGTTTCCCAAAGGGATAATTTTCTTTTAGTGTGGAAAAGCTTCGTTTAGCATTTCTTATAATGCAATGATTCTCTGGAAATGTTTATCTCTTAGTTCTCTTTTCTCTTAATGATATGCAGTTGTAAATAAAAAATATCTTTCATTCTTGAAAGATATGTTTTCTAGATCTGGAATTCTGAATATTCTTTTTTTCTTTCATGGTCTTCTGATCCCTATAGTTTCTAAGAAGTCAGTGATTTTTTAAATTATTGTTACCCTGAATGTAATGTATTGTCATTCACTGGATGTTTTAATTTTTTTTTTAATCTTGTGGTTTTTATCAGTTTGACTGTAATGTGTTTAGACTATGATCTATGATTTTAAGATATATACCCTTCAGGTTTAGGAAGTTAAAACATTCTTCTAGAATTTGAATGAGGGATGCGATTGTTTCCATTGTGATTTCTACACAGCAGTGTGCCCTTTCTTCTTCAGCATATCAGCACTCTAACTAAAACCTTTCCTAAATGCCTTCCATTTTGTTCAATGCAAATACAAGCTAAAGCAACTCCACAGCCATCCTTCTGCAACATGCAAATTTATGAGCCTGTAAATGCATTCGTTACAAAGGCAATACTCAAGTCACAATATGAATTTTATTATGGTAACCTTTTCAATTCCTGAAATAATTGTGATAAAATAATTCCATAATTTTCCATGGAAAATATATTTCAGTAAATGGAATATTTCCAGTCAAAGCCAACATCATCAGAAATTATTTTACTTATTTAACCTAATATTATGGTCTCTTGATACATAGATTAAGGAGACTTAAATATTAGAGGCAACTTGTCCACTTTGCTTGATAAAAATAAAATTTAAATTAAAAAATTATTTTTGTGTTAATGTAAGGAATTATTGAAGTTTTAACTCACCCTGAAATCTGGTGAGATTGTCTAGATTTTCATCTCACTCTCTTTTTGCATCAACTACCAGAGAACAGGCCTGGCATGCTCAGTTGCCATATGCAGATATTGATAGTTGGAGAAACAAAAGTAATATTTAAAAAGTTTTTTTAAAACAAAATATAAAAGTAGCATATGTTTATCATAGGAAATAAATGGAAAATAGAAAAAGAAAGAAAATTAATCACCCATAATCCTACCTCCCATACTTTTTTTTTTTGGACTTGAGTCTCTCATGCATTCCCAGCATTTGTTCTGAGAATACGCAAACAGGCTGCACAAGTTTAGGCTCTTTTCTATTATCTTTGTTTTTCAGCTATAAAATTTGAGTTTGCATACCTTTGTTTTTCATATGCTGTACTCACAATGGCCTGTAACATCCTCTTAAATTAGAATTTCAAGGTAGGATGGGTTTCCCCATACTTTCAGAATGTGTGTTTTTCCCAGTACTATTATTGGCAACATAGATCATATTCTTTGCTTAGAGGAAGTCAGGTAATGAAATGGTTAAGCAATAAGGTTTCTTTTGCAAGGGCCATGATTTTACCCCGGCACTCATTTTGCCAGGTGAAAATATAAGTAAGTCTCTGATGTCCTCCCTGGGCTTTTACTTGAAGTCTCCTTTTAATAAGAACATGCAGTTGTAGCACTGCGATGTTAAAAATGTCTATATTTCTTTCAAGAAAACAGAATGAATCATTCTTGTACAAAATTTTTCCCAGAGATAAAATTTAGTTTTTGCTTATATTTCAAGATTATGCATTGTTTCTTGATATTTTCTAGTGATTCACCATATTTTAAAATTCAGCCCAAATTTCTGGAAATGCAGAAATCATTACAAAGTGGTATATTCATATTTATTCGGGAGCAGTAATAGTTTATGTACCAAATGGAGAAATAAAATGATTTGGTTTGGAAACAGATGGGCCACAGAAATATTTTATTATTTCTGAGAATATTAAATTAGAACATTGAATTAATATAAGAAAAGGAAGGACTTCATTATATAGAGTTTTTAAGTGAAGAAACATAATTTCCAATTTTTTTTCAATAAAGCAAAAACACTCTCATATTTATACCTAATGAACAATTGCTTCATCCCTCAAAGTATGGCATTATCTAACCAAAAAGAAAAATATGACAAATGGTAAACATGATCTGTTTACATGGAAACTTTCCATCTGATATATGGTGGCCTGTGTAGATTCTGCCACTTGCTGTTAGAGATAAATCACTGAGTTAAAAATCTATGGATATATGAAAATCTTTTAAGCAGACTGACCTCATTTACTGAGGTCCTAACTACTAAAAAAGATGGCTATCTCAGTAATAAAAGTCACCTTACCCACAGTGAAGAATTCCGAAGATCGCATAATGCTGTGAGTGGGAGCAGAAAGGGGCATGGCCTTTAGAAAGGACAGGGCACAGTCAGAGGAACTCCGCACTTATGCTGCGTTTGACTTTCCTTACTTCCCCAACTCACTTTTCAAAATTGAACTTGGTATTCAATCCCTCTGTCATAGTTCAGGTAGCCACAGTCATCCTCAGGAGATGTCCTGAACCGCATCTCCTTCAGCCAACTGAGCTCCCCTCAGAGCTGACCGCCAGCCACTTGGCCAAGCTTCCCAGTGAGCCCCGGGTGGAGCAGCAGGACCTGCTCAACAGTTTGCCATCTGCTGTGTTTAGTGCCTTGAACTCTCGAGTAAGGCCACCTGAGTTGGCTGTCAACTTCAGTGCTTTCTACCTGTGTGTCTTTGGACATATGATTTCACCCTTCTATGCTTCCTTTTCTTGCACCTGCAACAGTAGACTATTAGTAATAGATCGTAGAGGTTTGTGAGGGTTAAAGAAGATAATGCTGGGAAAGGTACTTAGAACTGTATGTAGCATATAGTTACTGGTCAATTTATGTTAGCCCTGCTTCTTATTTGGAGAAAGAATTATATCATTTATACAAACCTGCTCTATTATAGGGACTACCAACTATGGGTTGAAAGAATTATACGTTTTATTTTGCCATTACTGTTACTATTTTGTACTTTGCTAGATCTATACCTTGTTTTTTTCTCCCTGAACCACAGAGCTCATCATTCACTGTCTTCTGTTGTCTCAGGCCCCAGACTGATAAGCTTCCTGAAAATAGACATACGGCTGGACATAATATCCTCAAACTAGCGAGAACCTTAGATATCGCTTAGTTCTTTAGATAAAATATTGCTTTCATAAGCTAAAATCTGTCGAGTTTTGCGTGACTTTAACCATTACAATGATTTAGAGGGTTCCAAGTTCATGGACTTGTATTTATTCCAGTGAGTAGCAAAATGTCATTTCAAAACCGAAATGTTTAAAGATACTGAGTCATGCTCATATAGCATTTAAGTATGTCTGGCAGCGAAGTTCGCCAAATCTGATACTCGTGATTGTCCTACTGCCAAGTGTGTACATGTGACCACTTACTCAGGTTAGCTCAGCAGAGAAGCCCCCTGCTCTATTCCCTTGGGTTGTGTACCTTTAAAGTGTAGTTTTCCGAAGCTTTACCGTTGGAGCAAAAGCTGTTTCTGCCTTTGTTGACCTCTCAGTTTTCTCTTCCTCTTTGTTATGACCAAAATTACTGTTATTTCTGCTGTTTTACTTAAGGCTAAACTAACAGTGTTTCACAATGGCTGAGCTTTCTGATTCCCCAGGGCTCTTTTAAAATATTTTCACACAGTATTTCCTTCTTCCCCTTTTATCCAAATCATTCATTTCATGTCTGAGGTCTTTGATTTCCAGAGTACATATTATTATGGTTACAGTGGTACCAGTGAGACAGGCCAGTAAGCCAGGACAAGCGAAATGGGGAAACTGAGACATTTAAACAGCATTTTGCAGCCATCCAGTAAATCCTATCTTTCATAAACCAGGGACACTGAAGAGTGAATGGTTTGTACTTCTCTCTAACCAAAGGGTAAGTAGCTTAAATCATCCTACTTAGGAAGATAGACAGCAGACGTCCAATTAGTGCCATTTGCCACCCACACCCAAGGATAGATGAAGTCAAGAGAATAAACCTTATGTTGGTGCATCAGCATAAAGCTGATGAATATTCTACTGAGGTCCCCTCCCCCCCTTAGGCTACCCCTAAACTCCCAGCCTTTAAAACCCCTCTCAAAACAAGGATCCCAGTCCTCACTCTCCCTCCCAGGAGCATGCTGTTCCCTCTCCCCACCTTCTTCCCCCACAGGCATGCATCTCCTAAACCTAAGGGACCCCACAAGGCTTGCAACCAGGACAGCAATGGTCTATGGTAGTTCATCCCAAACAACCCCCCCCCCCCCGAACCTGTCCCCAAGGCCCCTTTTCCTAACTTCTTAGTGAGCCAAAGCAGACCAGCCTGGGCTCATTTCCCCAGCCCTTCCTTGTTTCACTGTCCCCAGCTTTAATAAATAATGAGTCTCTAAAATTCACCTGGGCTTGTGTTGTGACATTTTTCCTACGTGAAGTCAAGAACCCCACACTATAGGGTTGGCCCTGTTCAGGGCCAGGACCCCTTTCTGGTAACACTAGGAAATTTTCTCACTTAAAAAATGCAAGGAGCCCGGCCAGCATGGCTCAGTGGTTGAGCATTGACCTATGAACCAGGACGTCACGGTTTGATTCCCAGGCACATGCCCAGGTTGCAGGCTTGACCCCCCACTATGGGGCATGCAGGAGGCAGCCATCAGTGATTCTTTCTCATCATTGATGTCTCTATCTTCCTCTCCCTTCCTCTCTGAAATCAATAAAAATTTAAAAAATAAATAAAAATAAAAAATACAAGGAAAGTAGATTAAATACAACTTCATACCTTTAGCAAAGTTATTTTTCCCATATTTTAATAAGCCTTTTCCCCTTCTATTAGTTTGCATCAGACTATTAATAGCAGATTTTTTAAATCTAGAGAATTTTAGTTGCAGTTAATGTTAAAATGCCCTAATGTGTTTTATTTTAAACATGCTGAAGGATATTCAGCCTTTAACAGCTTTCTTTTTGCCTAAAAAGAGTGTCCCATGATACATGCTACATAGTACATAAGACAATATTTCAGTTTATATGTCTACCATAGGAAAAATAAATAAATCCAAAAAATAATTAACATTTGGATGTTTGCCCTTAATAACTGAAGCATTTTACTTAGTCATACATAAACAGTTTTCAAACTCTGAAGAAAAATTGATTTACATCTTTAAAATTATGCATAACAAGGAGAATAGGCCAACGACAAGTAATGAAAACAGGCTATCCCGGGAATGAAGTGGCCCACAGAGGAGGGCAGGGGCAGGATGGAGGGTGAGGGATTAAGCATGGAGGTGTGGGATGGATGGGGGCAGGAGAAGCACAGGGAAATAGGTCAGTGTGAACCTGGGAGGCTCCAAGATGGGAACAGAATTAGAATTTAGGGTAAAACTCATTTATAAAAAAAAAGTTGAAGCCAATCAAGTCTAAGGTTCTTATTCTGAAACTCCTTTATACTATGAAGTAGACATTGACTTTAAAAAGAAAATTAGAAGGATTTGGGGAAAAAAGTGGTTCAGGGTGGGCTAGGGCCCTTGAAATAGACTTCAATGAGCAATGTTGCTCTGGGAATCCATGACCCTCTCTTCTCAGAAATATGAGGCAATCAACTCTTTCCCACTGATTAAAATTTTCACTCTTAGAGAAAAAAAATTATATTAATAGTTTAGCGGCACTGCTCTTATAGGTATTTAATTACATAACAGACAGTTTTCAAGTTATTCTTCCATATCTAATCTCATCTGATCTTTCCAAATGCCCTGTGGGTTTTGGATTAGCAAAATGGTTGTTAAGCCTCAGGGTACTTGAAGCTATTACGTGATCTGGCCAAAGCTACATACTGAGTTACAAAATCTAAGACAGAACTGAAGTCAGATTTCCTGGAAACTCCGCCAGTTCTCTTTCTACAGCTTCAAAAAGGTACAGGGAAGCTTTGCAATGAAAGTAGCTTTAATGTCGGCACCGTTGTTTGGGGAAAGAGCAGTAAACACAGGGTGAGATGTAAACTGGTGAGCTGGGAAAAGGGGAACATTAAGGCAAATGCAGGGTTTGTTTTACAGGAGTGAGAAATAGCATGTCCCTTTCTGTTCAGTGCTCCGCTAGGTTCTATAGAGGAGATAGTTTTCGCCTTTGAAAACACAGGGAGCTACCCTAGCCAGACACAAGTAGACTATGAATAAAACACATGTAAGCATAAGCTAACATAATGACAGCTACCTACAGATTCATGAGAGACTGTCATTTGAATCAGAAATTCGGGTTCAAAGCAGAATTTTTGGTGCCAGAAAAACCTAGATTTTGCATCCTGGTTTTGCCATTACTAGCTGTGTTGTGTCTCAGAACTGTTTACCTCTTTAAGCCTCATAAGAATGTATAAGGGGACTGTTGTCAGGGAGATGACGAGGCCTCGGTCTTGTTTTCTGGAGGGGAAGATTTTAATTAGGAGACAAAGTGCAGAAAAGCAAGCGAGAATCTATTGACGGCAGCGAAACTATGCTTAGGAGAGTGGAACAATGAAGGGCATAGAAGCGGCAGAAGGGCCTAGGCTGAGCTGCCTTCGCTCACTGGGAAGTCAGAGAATAGGGGCCTTGTACGACAGGACCAGCTGCCACTGCCCATTGCTCCCCTGGTGGCAAGCATCATGGGGCTGGGAGATGGGAGACGGGAATGGTATGGGCAGTATGGGCATACTGGGACTTTCACTTTTAGGGATTTTAAAAGCTGGGCATTTAGGGGAAGTCTTAGGGACAGATCAATAGACTATTCATCAGCTTTATGCTGATGAACCAAAATGAGATATATTCTTTTAAATTTGTCTGTCCTTGGGTGTGGTTGAAAATGGCATTTAATTGGATTTCTGTCATCTGTCTCCCAGAGTAGGGTGATTTAAGCTATTTACCCTCTGGTTGGGGAGAAGAGGTACAAACCATTTACTCTTGAGTGCCCTTGATTTAGGGAAGATAGGACTTACTAGGTGGCTGCAAATTGCTGTTTAACTTAGTTTTCCTATTCTGCTTGTCCTGGAATTTTCTTAGCTTCTTACTATTCTATAACAGGGACAGTAGCAGCTTTTATAAGGTCATTATGAGGATTAAATGAGACATTGCATAAAAAGCACTAAAGCATAGTGTCTGCCACTTAATATAATAATTGAGTGTTAGCTAATATAATAGACTAGAGGCCTGTTGCAGGAAGAGATTCATGCAATGGGCCTTCCTTTCCCCTGGCTGCTGGCACCAGTTTGCCTCCTGCACCCGGGACCCAGGCCTTCGCTCTGGCCGAGTTCTGGCCGGAGCTGGCCCCAGAAACATCAGGCCTCGCTGCTCCACCGGCCCAGGGCCGTCAGGCTCCGCTCCACTGCTTGGAGCCTACGTATGCAAATTTGCATATCACACTGATTAGCCAATGGGAGGCGTAGGGAAGGTACAGTCAATTACCATGTTTGTCTAATATTAGATTAGATGCACTGAATTGTGGCAGTTACAGAGAGGACCATGTTCATTTCTGCTTATCAATATTGAAACCAGATAATCAATGGGAATTGAGCCAATTAGGTGGAGATAGTGTTGAATCATATATGAGCATTTATTCCAATGCTGCCAGCAGTATGGGAGAGCAGCAGGTCATCCACAAAGATCTCTAGCCCCCCAAGCCAGCTGCTTATATTGGAAAGGACAAAGATTACATGGGGGAGCAGGAATCACAGGCATGGGGAAGTAGGCAACATGGGCTTGGGAGGAGCTGGGGCAGGACTCCATTGTTTGGGCAACAAGGTTGTTAATCTTTCCACGATATTAGGTAGTTCTT